GGCTCGCATCTGGTCTGGAGCTTGGTCACGGAGGGGCATAGGTCTGCGACACAGAGGCGCGAGTCACTAATGGGCGTCCCAAGGTAGGTAGTGGGGAAAGAGCCCAGGCGGCAATTAAGTCTGTTGGCAATGGCCACAGACTCAGCGGGGGAATATCCCATCACCATAACATCGCTCTTATCGAAGTTGATCTTGAGGCCCGACATCTGTTGGAAGCAAAGAAGGAGGAACTTGAGGTTGGTGATGTCCATCTCCGAGCCTTCGACCATGATGATCGTGTCGTCAGCATACTGGAGGATGGAGATTCCCGAGCCCCCAGAGAGGTGGGGGGTAATACCTCGGATGTGGCCCGTGGCTTTAGCCCCATCGGCAGTTTCCTCCCTTCCGGATGCCTGATAACCTCTGTTTCTCTATCGTTTTGCAGCAGCTCGACGGAAGGACTCCAAGCAGCGGGTGCTCGATGGCCGGACTCGAACTGTGAAGGTAGAATAATCCCCCCCCCCCTTGTATATGCAGCTAGTGTTCATGTTTATTTGTTGTCCAGTGTATGTTTGCAATATATATGTTGATGTAAGCATCATTGGTAACTTGTAGATGGTCATGAAGATGAACAAAAGAAAAAAGATGGTTAGGGGAGCTGTTGTTTTTGTTGCACTAGCTGCAATGGCAGTAATTGTGAAGAAGAACTTCTAAATTCGATATGGTTGTATGCTTGACAATTATGTGAACTTGACACATTACTATGTACACTTTGGCTGCTTTTGGAGATTGCGTATGTGAACTTGACATATGTGGTTGTCAAGGTGAACTTGACATGTATGACTGTTGCACTTTGATGTTTTTGGGAATTTTGTTTGTGAACTGTATGGTTGTATGTGCACCTTGTTGAAAATTATATTATGAGTTGTCATTCATGTGTTATAAACTTGTCAATATCAATTGTTATGTTGTTTTTAATCAAATTACAAACAAAATGCTGTCGAAATTTTAAATTTTAGGTCATTCCATTTTTTATTACGTGCTTCCAACCAAACACCGGAACAGAACCGACCCGTTCTACTCTTTTGCTCCTACCAAAGACAGGAATGAAACGGACCCGTTCCTCTGGAATGGAACCATTTCATTCCATGACAGTTGGTCCCCCAATTGAACACACCCATAGTACTCCCTTTGTAAACTAATATAAAAGCGTTTAGGTCACTACTTTACGGAAGGAGTACATCAGAAGTTTTAAATCGAACCTTGTGAACCAAGCATCATTGTTGTGTGTGTAGAGTAGTTTGGTGCCTTCTTAAGATCAATTCATCTCGAAACCGTCTTCAGTTCTTTCCACGTAGCAAGTGCAGAAGCGTCGGTGCTCGTTTCTGCTTAGACCGTAAGCAGTGACGGCTTCAGGAATTTGCAACCGAGTATTCATGTGTATTTATTTTGCCAAAGTCATTGTTATTTTGCGAAAATGATCATTGTTTTATCAAAATCAACACTGTTTTGTAAAAATCATGGGTATTCATATGAAGATTCAAGAATACCCCTACCGTCGCCCCTGACCGTAAGCATGGTAACAATCACACGAGTTATTACAGAACTGTGCCCTCCGCGGAGGTAAACTGAGTTGTACGTCGCGGCTTCAGTGCTTTGCACGTCATGACGGGAGATATGATTCCTTTGTCAGTTATGTAGTGCTTGCGAGCGGAGCTTCACGGTTGGGCGGTGGCGCTGCATCAGAAGCTTCTGAAGACAAGAGAGGCGCATCGCACGCCACGCGTACCTACGCCCACTGCCCGAATGTGATTGGTATCCGTGAGATAACTTTGGATCAGTGTATGATATGATCTATGCCTTGGTCGGTGGAGAAGATCGTGTGGCGTGCCGTTTATCAAGGAAGGGCCTAGGCCCTCTCGAGTGCGCGGAGAATGTGTGTGTGTGTTGAGAACATCCCCTGATGGATCACATCGCACTAAACCCAACCACTTTTGATCCCCGAAGATCGCTACGCTAGGGCTAGGCACGACAGGACACGGTGCATCCAAGCTACTGAAATGTATGTGCTCAGCTCCGCGGGTTAAACTGGCGTTTGTGTCACGTGACCAGAAAGTTTATTGGAGGAGTCTTGTTTTTTTAAGGACCAGCAAAGGCTGGTGTTTCATTGATCATAAGCAGGGAGCAGATGACAAAGCGATAAAGGTGGAGATCCGAAGATCAAGGATAGTAAGAAGAAGAATGTCAGAAAAGAACATAGTGCCCCCAGGCACAAGCCGCTAGCCTACTCTCCCGACGGTCCCCGAAGGGGCTCTGAACTGACTTGATGCCGGCTTGTTGCCAGAGGCTTAGCCCTCTCCTGATCTCGCTGAGAATGTCTTCCACCTTGGCCTCTTTTGTCCTAAATGTGCAGTGGTTCCTCTCCTGCCATATCTGCCAAAGGGCAAGCATTGCAAGAGACTTGATCGCTTTCCTGTGGGCAGGCGGCGTTGTATCTGACATAGCTTTGAACCTGTCCAGGGAGCTTGTGTTGCCGATCCATGATTCTTGTCTTAGCGCGCGGCAGCACGTCCATGTTGCAATTGAATTCCAGGTTTCCTTCGCGAGGGGGCAATGCCAGAACAAATGCTCGGAGCTTTCCAGTTTGCGGAGGCATAGCTGACAGAAATAGTTGTTTGGCCATCCTCGCCGCTGCAACCTATCATTGCACCAGAGCCGGTTTTGGTGTAGCAGCCAGGCGAAGATCTTGAGCTTTGCAGGCGCACGGGTGCTCCAGATCAGCTCGCGAAATTGAGTCTGCACAGAGCCCTGGAACTAGGCACGGTAGGCTGAGTGCGCAGTGTACTGCCCGGATGCTTCTATCTTCCAGGCGATCTGGTCTTGGCTGTCTTCCTGAAGGTGGTACGATTGCAACCGGCGGTTCAAAGCGAGCACATCCTGTGCTAAAGAGCCGGCGTTGCCGTGCGCCAGGTCAGAAACCCAGCGGTCTTCGAGTAGCGCCTGCGCCACCGATCTGTTCTTTCTTCTGGAGTGTTTGAAGAGGTTGGGGTGGAGGAGCTTCAGCGGAGACGCATCGATCCAAGCCGAGTGCCAGAAGCTAGCCATCTTGCCATTGCCAATAGTCACCGCTGTGGCCGCACTAAAAAGGGCATGATGGGAGGCATCGCATGGCAGCTCTGTTCCTGCCCAAGGGCGCTCCGAGCTTTTCCATGCATGCCAGAGCCATCGTAGGCGGAGGGCACGGCTGAACTTGGGCAGATCGAGGATGCCAAGGCCACCGTGCTCGATCGGGGAGCAAACCCGTGCCCAGCTCACCTTGCAGCTACCGCCGGTGAGCTCCTGATCGTGTCCCCAGAGGAATCGGCGTCTACATTTGTCTATTTCTTTCAACAGCTTTACTGGGATTTTAAGAGATGTAAGGGCAAACGTTGGCATGGCGGTGAGGACGCATCTGACGAGCACCCTGCGCCCGGCCATGGAGAGCATTTTTCCTTTCCAGCCTGCTAATCTAGCCCGAATTCTATCTAGGATGAACTGAAGATGTACTAGCCTAAGCCGGCCAATTGTGAGTGGAAGCCCTAGGTATCTGATCGGGAATTGCATGATCGGTCCCCCAAAAGACTGGAGTACCGTGCTGAGATCAATGTCTTGACAGCAAATCGGAGTTGCCGTTGACTTGACGTTGTTTATCTTCAGGCTCGTAGCGTCGCCGAAGCTCTCGAGCAAATTCATCAGGTAGTCAATCTCTTCCCTAACGGGGTTTGCAAAGATGATGGCATCGTCCGCATATAAGCTAACCCTAAATTTGATCTCCCTGCCTGGCACCGGCGTAATGTGGAGCTCTTAGTGTCGACGAACCTGACGGGCCGGGGCGTTGGCAGTTGCCATCACCGCCAGACACCTGTCCAGCACGGCAGTGGCACCCCTCCGGCCCCGGAGGCAGGAGCACGGCGAATTTCATTGTCACGCTGGGACACCGAGGGTGGGAAGAGTCGCGGCTCACACCGCCCGTCCTGCAAAAGCGGAGCCGACGAGAGAGACGCCCATGTTGTGGCGGGACTGGTAAGTTTGAAGCTTTGGATTGGTGGGGCGGAAGAAACAGGTCTCCGGGATTCCGATGGTCCCGGCCGGGGCCCCTGAAACTTTGGGCGGACGGAGAGTGACACAAACTGGCGGCGGAGAAGAATCGGTCGGCCGTCAGCGGGGAACAATGGGGATGGGAGACCGGCCGGTCAGGGCAGGCCAGGCATGGGGATGGGAGACCGGCCGGTCAGGGCAGGCCAGGCATGGGGATGGGGATGGAGTAGAAAGAAACAAGACTGGTTTTTGCGCGTGCCGAAAGAACAGCGAGTCTTTTGAAGGGCCTGACTGCATCATCAGTGCATTGCCCTTTCATGCAGTCATTCGGCTGTTTGCCGGCCTGCGCTTGCCAATCCTGTCAGGTATGGGAACGAACACTTGCTATGACTACTGCCTCGCAGAGTCGCAGTGAGCAACGTCTCACTTCGTAGAAATACACGTCACCTACCTAACGTATATACACGGCCCTCCTACCAGCATTCTCAAGTGAGACCGGTATCATTTACATGAACATTTTCTAATTTCCAAAGCGAACTTGTAGGACTTACTATTTTGGGTAGCACAGGTTCAGGTCTATGGTTGGCTAGACGAAGACGGCTACTAGCACAGATTGACAGGAATAGCAAACACTATCGGTGAACACAAACTTGCATGGCAGAGATACAAATAAACGAGACACAAGGAACATAATAATGGTTCACACAATCACTAATTCTCAGACATAAAATGCAAGGTTCAGATAAGCACCCACCAGGTGGATGATTTAGGACGACCAACGAACAAATGATCCAGCTCTACCAACATAGTATGGCACAGAGTACGGCACTGACATATTACTACACACGACAAGTATTAGTAGTTCACGACACATGATAAGCGTTCAGCTGCAAAAGCAGACACAGATGCCCGCCAGAGCCATTCCCACAGGGAAAGCAAGCATCTTAAGCCCTCTCGCCACGGATCCTCCTAGCCAGCTGAATGTCCTTGGGCATGATGGTCACCCGCTTGGCATGGATGGCGCACAGGTTGGTGTCCTCGAAGAGACCCACCAGGTAGGCCTCTGCAGCCTCCTGAAGGGCCAGCACCGCATGGCTCTGGAAGCGGAGGTCAGTCTGCACAGACAGAACGAGACCATGCTTTTAGTTTACTTGATTCATACTATAAGAGTTGACATAACAGGAGAGCATCACAATGTAGTGCACAAGTTGATTGATCACCTTGAAGTCCTGGGCAATCTCCCTAACAAGCCTCTGGAATGGAAGCTTCCTGATGAGCAGCTCCGTGCTCTTCTGGTACTTGCGGATCTCACTGCAAACTCAAGCACAAAATTTATTCATTTGAGGATACTTCAAAACGAAACTATAACACATGCTAGAATAGGTTGGAAGGTTTTACACACCGAAGAGCAACAGTTCCAGGGCGGTAACGGTGAGGCTTCTTCACTCCTCCAGTAGTGGGAGCAGACTTACGGGCAGCCTGTCGAAAAGCAAAACAGAGCACATGTCAAATTAACAATAATACCATGATAATCCATATACATCAGTAAGATATCTGGTCATAAGCTGGCAATGAAGGTTGAGGTTCAAATTATACCCAGTTCAATTTAACTAAACCATAAATAAAGACATGGCATAGGTAAACTACTATCAATATTGCAGTCACAAACCTTGGTGGCTAGCTGCTTCCTTGGAGCCTTTCCTCCAGTGGACTTACGAGCGGTCTGCTTAGTACGAGCCATGAGCAAAACCTTGGTTTACCTGAAGCAAAAACAGAACATAGTCAGTTCTATAAATTGAATATCACAATAACACAACTATAGCCTTCTCATAACTAGTAAATTGTGCCTGGCACCTTGTTACTAGCAAATCCATTCAATAACTATAGTCCCAACAATCATCAGCCTAGAACACCTACCGAAATATTGTACATCAAAAACTAACAACGTCATACAACACAGCTATACACCCCTTCAGATAGAAGGCAGTGTATTTCTAACTAAAACTTTTCATTCAAAAGATCAGACCGAAGTTAGAATTCCACTTCAGATGAAAGTCTTGATCTACCTTTAGCATAGTTTGTTCACTCAAAAGACACATATAAAGATGACACACTAAAAAACAGCAGCCTAGTACTTTTTTTAACACTAAAGAAAACAAGGCTACCATGATCGCCTAATTTTGCAAATAGAAGCAAGAAAAGAAATAGCAGTCCACTGATAAAAATATGCTTCCTAGTTATCACATGTAATGGTTGAACATCAACTTCACATAGTTATGTGCATATGATTTTAGTTTATCACAAGAATAACATTAGCTAACTAGCAAGTTGATACAATTCAGATACAATAAATCAGTACTAATAGATGTTAAGCAATCGACTATTTTCAAAATGGCTATGCATGCAACTGCATCCGTGTATCAATGCACCCAATTAACTTCCACTATCAGAGTAGCCAAGTATATTAGTTCATCCTGATACTATCATTCCCAGATACCTAGGCTGCAGGTTGCTCTCAATATCAAGCTCAAAACATTAACAAAATTACATTTGCACTGACCACATGCTGTATGCAGACTTTAGAAACTGAATATCCCAATATAAACAATGTGAGCTCATGCCAATTCTTTCCAACCCTACAGTCCTAAAACAAACTACCAACCTGCAGATACCGAATTCTCCAAACAAGAGTTCAACTCCTCAAAAGATAAAGCACGCACGCCAATAATTCAAAGCGAAATTTATACCACCGTAACACACATGAAACTAAGGATTTGATGGGCCAGCAGATTAACCGACGCAAATCAAATATGGCACAACTAACGAACTTGGGTACAACTATGGTGTACACGAATCTACAGATCTGCGGAAATTCTTTTGATGGCTAAGACGCAAAATAATATATCGCCAAATCACGCGATTCGAACTCGAACTACATCGATCGGTCTGCTACCAAACAACAAAACCATCGTCAAGTAGGCACAGGTAATCGTGACTAAACGAAATTTAAGCATGGCATAAGACCCGAAAGAATCCGTCGAAACAATCAGAATCTGGAACCACGCCCAAACCCTAACCGCGCCTAAAATTCAAATCCGCGCCATGTTAAACCCGAATCAACCGCCCCGGCGAGATTAACGCGGACCGATCACCAACCACGGCGGGCCACGAAGGAATCAAGCTACCGAATCGAAGAGGACGGGGGCGGGGGGGGGGTGCGATTTACCTCGCGCGCCTCAGAAACCCCAAATTCGCCGAGAGGGAGAGGTTGCAACTTTCAGGAGACTCGGAGAGCGGCGGTTGGGTAGTGGGGCTGTTTTTTTTCTCTCAGCGGATGAGGTCGGCTTTTATACTTGGGAGCGTCCAGCCAGCCATGCCTCGGTCAGAGCGGACGGCCTGGATGTCATAGTTTTGTGCTTGGCTTCGAGCGATCGGACGGCGGAGGCCAGCGGTTGGGCGGTGCCACGGATCGCGGTTGCTGCGTGCTACGCTCCTATTGGCTAGAATATGGAGGACGCGGATCGGGGATTAGTGTGGGGTGGTTCGACTGGTGGTCGTATACGGTGTGTTTTTCCAAACGTACGGGAAAATGGCCTTCTATGTGGGGACAAGGTGCTGTGTCGTACTGATCACTTGTGTAGACGCTGCCTTTGTGTTAAGCATGTATAATAATGGCATATGGATACATATGTCCTATGACAAAAAGTAATTTAAAGTATCTACATTAATTTTTTTCTTTCCAATGCAAGCTATCACTAATGGGTCTCATTAAGAAATAAAAAATAAAGTCTTTAGTACATATGCATCTCTACTTTTCACTCCAACCTTTTCAGCTTTTGTCACTGGAGCACACTTTTTCTCTTCAAGCATCCGCCTCTTGAAGAAGATCCAGCTTCCCTATCCGAACCTACTTTACGTCATATCCGAACCTACATGGCATGCGAGGCATCACCTTGAGGCTATGCATTATACATGCCCTTAGTGTTTTGATATAAACATCCCCTCATGTTTATTTTTTGGGGCTAAAAACTGCTTTTATTAAATTTCAACAATCATTGGAATATGAATAATGTTTGGAAAATGATGTGCGTCGGACGACCTGCCGAAGCTTCTGCCGCACGAACGCGCGCGCCTTGATCGCGTAGCGACCCACCACACACATGTCTCCCCTTGGCCGACCAAGTGCCCTTGCCCCGTCATGATCCATTTTCTTTCTTCCTCCTCTTCGGTCCATCGTCCTCAGCCTTCCTCATACCTTCTTCTGAAAAGATCGAGAAGAGGGGTCTAGAGGGGGGTATTATACCCTTAACAAGTAAAAGTGGCAGTTTTTAGTTTATTCAAGTTAAGGTTGAGTTTAACACATATTAAAGGGGTCACAATACATTTTACACAAAGCATAGTAAAAGTATGAGCATCGGAAAGAGTAAAGCATGCAAGTGCAAGAATGTAAAGGAGATGGGAAATGGAGTGTGCGAACGCAAGGAAGATCGCAGATTTTTGGCGTGATTCCGATAGGTGGTGCTATCGTATGTTCACGTTGATAGAGACTTCAACCCACGATGGGTAACAGCTGCGTGAGTCCACGAAGGTCTCCACCTACAAAGGGTCCACGAAGAAACAATATTGTCTATCCCACCATGTCCATCACCCACGAAGGACTTGCCTCACTTAGGGTAGATCTTCATGAAGTAAGCGATCTCCTTGCCCTTACAACTTCTTGGTTCAACTCCACATCATGTCGGAGGCTCCCAAGCGACACCTAACCAATTTAGGAGACACCACTCTCCAAAAGATAATAGATGGTGTGTTGATGATGAACTCATTGCTCTTGTGCTTCAAATGATTGTCTCCCCAACACTCAACTCTCTCACAGAGATTTGACTATGATGGAAGAAGGATTTGAATGGAAATCAACTTGAGGAAGGCTATAAATCAAGGTTCAAATGGTAGGAATGGAATCTCTTGATCTCAACACATGAGTAGGTGGTTCTCTCTCAGAAAATAAATGGTGGAAGTGTAGGCACGTTCTGATGGCTCTCGTCAATGAGGAAGAAGGGTCGAGTGGTATATATAGCCTCCACACAAAATCCAACCGTTACACACTTTTGACCCATCTCGGTGGCACCGATCAGAAAACTCGGTGGCACCAATCTATGTAAGAATATGAGCGTTAGTAATCTCGGTGGGACCGGCGTGCTAGGGCTTAGGGCAAACCTCATCTCGGTGGCACAGATTGCATCGTCTCGGTGGCACCGAAGTGAAGCAATAGGCAACAGAGAATTAGTCAAGCCAACTCGATGGGACCGATTGCAACATCACGGTGAGACCGAAGTGAATCCAACAAGTCACAGAGCACTGACAAGGCCATCTCGGTGAGACCAATATCCATATCGGTGGAACCAAATTGTTAGGGGTTTTGATTGTGGCCAAGTCTAGATGAACCCGAGGCTCCGGGTAGGAAATATCGGTGGGGCCGAGCTAGAGTTTAGGTTTTGGACATATTTGGATAGAGAAACTGGTTGAGTGTTTTGGAGCAATATCACTAAGCACTTGAGCAACAGGATCATTAAGCAACACCTCATCCCTTAAAATAGTATTGGATTTCCAATGGACTCAATGTGATCTTGAACCACTTAAAAAATGTAGAGTATTGATATTTTTCCAATCCTTGTCCTAAGCATTTTGATGGGGCTCCACATCCTCTTGTCCTTACCATGCCACTGTTGGACTTATCTGAAATATACTAGATAAAACTATTAGTCCAACAAAATATATGTTGAAATTAGTTACCAAAATCACCCAGGAATCACTTGTGCTTTCATCTTCCTCGTGTGAGGAGTGCACCCTGGGTCTTCTTCCACCTACACCTTCACCATTGCTCGCTAAAGCTTCGACATGGGTGGGGGAAATGAGTTAGAACCGGAGCTCGGCGAAGCTGCATCTGCTTGTCAGTTGCACTATGACCATGGTGACCATGGTCATGATCACATTGTCATGGCGCTATGAGCTTGAGGGGTGGCGGGGTGTTGCATGTTGCGACTTTGGTGGTTGCGTGCTGGAACTAGCGGCGCGACGCGCTGGAGTTGACAACAATATTTGCTACATCCACTCGTGGCAGAGCTACGACCTGTGATGGCGAAGACAACGCTTTGTTGCAACCATCCTATGCTTTTCCTATGACCAACGAGGAAATTTGCTACATCCATTCATAGCGGAGATGCAACCTAGGGAAGCAGCAATGGTGTTTTTTGGTGCAACCGTTGTTGTTTTTCGCTGCGACCGGCGAGGTTTTTTGCTACATCCATTAAATGCATTGGCTGAAGGTCGTCGTGTGTGCAACCCCGTGCATCGAGCATTAGTGTAAAAATAGCTTCAACTAGCACAAATAAAAGCTTCAACCAACAACTTTGTCATCTTCATCACCAACTCTCTCTCCCCTCTACGCAGTCTTCTAACACCTCTTCTCCCCGATGTATTTGTTGGGGAACATGGTACTTTCAAAAAAATTCCTACGATCACCCAAGATCTATCTATGTGATGCATAGCAACGAGAGGGGAGAGTGTGCCCACGTACCCTCGTAGACTGAAAGCGGAAGTGTTTCAATAACGTGCTTGATGTAGTCGAACGTCTTCGCGATCCAACTGATCCAAGTACCGAACGTACGACACCTCCGTGTTCAGCACACGTTCAGCCCAATGGCGCCCCTCATACTCTTGATCCAGTTGAGGCCGAGGGAGAGT